CATTTAGTTTTTAGTTTTTGATTAATAATGAAAAGTATGTAGATAATCATTATTTTAATTTAAAAAATATTTAAATATTTAAATAGAATCACAATTTGAAATTAAATTAAAAAAAAGATTAAAATCAGTTGATAAATAAAAAAATTATCCAAATGCTAATAAAATTTTAGTTTTTTTTTTTTTTGGCCTTGATAATTTAAAGAATAAAAATATTGAAATCTTTAGATAAAATCACAATTTAAAATTAAATTTTTAAAAATTTGAGGATGAATAGAAAAATTATCTAGACAATAATAAAATATTACTTATTTTTTAACTTTTAGCAGTTAATGCTAGTAAAATTTTAAAAATACTTGGTATTGATGGGAAGATAAGATAATGTTTTTGCTTTCTTTTCCATACGTAAGACGTTCGTTAATATTAGCTACTTTAACATTATTCAATTTTTTTCAAAAAAAAAAAAGTTCAATTTTGTAGTGGAAAAGAAAAACTACCAAATTAGCAACTATATTTATTTGAGATTTTAGAGGGTTTTTAAAAGGTTTATTGGATGTCAACAAATTAAGTAATTTAGTGGTATTTTTTTTTTTATGAAAATGAGAGATCTTGAATTCGAGTTATATGACATACGGGTGGGATAAAATAAGAGATGGAAGATGATTGCCTCTTATTGTGCAATTAAGATAAAAAAGGTTTATTGGATATTTATTTAAGAGTTTTGATGGATTTTAATAGACACATTAAGTCTTTATTTGAAATTTATTACTCCCTTCATTTATTTTTAGTATACTTAATTTAATTTTTTGACTTTTTTATATAAATTTTAAGTAAAAATTTAACATATTATATAAATAATAATTAAAATTTTTTAATTAAATAAAAATAATTGACAAGAACTTCATATAAAAAAATGTTTCAATTGTTATTTATATAAATTGTTAAATTTACATGTAAAATTTATATTTAAAAACTCAAAAAGTTAAATTATGTCTACTAAAAATGAAGGAGAGAATAAAGATTTTAACAATTTTTATACTCCTTGAGTTCCAAAATAATTGTTCTTTTTTTATTTTGAATTTATCTCAAATTAATTGTCATTTTTTCATTTTTTTTAAGTTTGATAAATATTTATTTCTTACTTTAACCAATCATTATTTATTTACATTGATTAATTGTCTTATTACAAAAAGTCTCTCTTTGCTTTTTTTTTTTTAGGATAATATTAATAAATACATAATTTATTTTTAAATTCTTAATTTGAAAAAAAAAAGTGAAAAAAGATAATTATTTTGAAACAAAAAGAATAATGTATAGAAAAGTAATATAAGGTTTTTACTTTCTTTTGAAATGTAAAACGTTGGTTGATAGCGTTATATTGCCAACTTTAACTTTATTCAATTTTGCAGTGGAAAAGATATTAAAGCTACCAAATTAGCTACTTTAATTTCCAGCAGTATGGTATGTAGATGTTGAAGCAAGAATAAGAATATGGAACTAATGTTAACTTTAAGTGCCCATAAGCGGTGGCGGAACTAGGATTCAGTTGAGTAGAACACAATTAGGGCATAGTTTGATAACACTGATTTGTAGTTACAGTTGTTTGTTTTTTAGTCATTTAACATATTTAAAATATATAAAAATATATTTTATATATTTT